CAAAACTAATCAGTTACAATATAATAGCAAGAGTTACTGCAGGATTTCCGATCTCTTCATGCATTCCCAATTACTGGGCTATTGGCTTCAACAGCAAAATACATGGAGAAAATATACAGATATAGATATAGATGATACACATGTAGATGTAGAGTGCAGCAAGAAGCATGTGTTGAGGGGGTCAGGGGTGGGAGTATTCAAATGAACACTCTGCTCCAAGCTTCTCAAAGTCTTAAAAAGTTCTGACTAGACTGTATCAGCTCATTGAAAAATGAAGGAAGACATCACTGAGTCATGTGTCAGCATAGAGGGATGTAATGTAAAGTCATATATAAATGAATAGGATAAACAGGAAAAGAAATGAAAAAATAAAGTTGTTTATTACAGATGATGTTTTTACAACAAATTATTCTGCTCTCAAAATCAAAACATCACAGATTGGAACTATCCATACATCTCTCCTCCTCCTTACTTGATCCTTCCTTGCTTCCCAGTGTTTCTTTCTGCTCTCTGGTGTAGCCGAAAGCCATCCTGTTATTTACCCAAGCTTTGAGAGCCCATCCCTTCTCTCTTGAATTGGCAACATGGCCAAGCTAGTACTCAGGTATGACTGTTGTCCACACAATCAAGTAGTTATTACTCAGTCATTACTCTGCCTCTACTGCAAAAAGACAGGCTGAGGCTGAGAGAGACACTGAAGACCACACAATGATTGCAGATGAGATCAGATTGCAAACTTTTGGGTAAAACTGCTCAATCTCTTCAGCTGCACTATATTTGCTCTGTAATGGTGCTTCCTTTAGGAGGACTCCATTATTGAAGCCAGGGGGCTAGAGCTGATATAGAGTGCACTACACACCCAATATAGAGTGCATTCCCCGCTTTCCACACCAGTGATTGGGGGCAGGATTTCGGGGCTGGAGGTTCAGAGTTTCTGCCATAGCAGCTTTTCCCTTCTTCCCCCATTCAGTTAAGGTGCATTTTGTTTAGTTCCCCATCAAGGGCCTGGATCTTGAACATCTTTTCCATGGCTCTTCTTCATGCCTCCCAAAACTTGTCCCTGAGCTGCTGCAGCTACTTCCCTTCATCTCCCATCACCTGTAGTTTCTTCCCTTTTTTCCTTTCTTCCCATTCTCCCCCTCCCCTAGCTCCAGCCTCCTCAGGCATGTGGCTTTCTTCTTACAGCTGTCTGATGACCTACCAATTGTTTGATAGGCTGGTAGGTCATCATATCTCAAAAAAGGGAAATGTATTACTATTTTTAGCTGGGGTTCTGAGATGCTCATGTCAGATATCTCCTATAGCCAATACAAAATGGCAATCGTGTTGCAGGGCCCAGTGACCAGATGCCACAGGAGGGGACATCTCTACAGCAGATTTACCCAACCAGTAGAACCTGGGCAGTTCCCAGCCCCTAGCCACATCATCCCCAGGCCTATCACTATGGTGCCCTGGATTGTCCACATGGGAGGCCTTGGGTTGGGATGAGAGAGAAAGCACCATTTTTATACCGGAACTCCTAAAGCTGACTTCAGGCTGCCTAAGAAATGGATTGGCAATGAGATGGACATGGCATCATGAGGATGTGTCCTCTAAAAATGTCAGTGGGGCATCTTCTTTCTGTGCCAAGCAGGATGTGAAGACAAGCCCTAAGTATAAAATAGCAATAGTAAAAGAATTTGTATTTTATATACTGGACAGGTAAAAAAATGGTGATTGCTTAATAATCTAATTTTCAGCCTAAAACACTTTCCTAGTGTATTTTACGTATATTTGTATTTGCTTTTTAACTTCATGCTATGGATGCTGAGGGAGATGCATCAGAACCTCCAGCAGTATTTCTCAATTGCTGTGGAACTGATCATGCCGTGCTTTATCTTTTCCCTAGCCAAGGCAGAATGCCTGAAACATTCTCTCCTTATTTGACCCCCAGGTTGGAACCCCAACTTGTTCAGAATTCTAGAAATGAAGTCCCAACACATTTATTGGTCATTAGGTTGGCAAGTTGGGCTTTAATAAAATTGATATCCATTTTTCCAGTTTATATACCCCTTCTACAATTACTATCTCTGATAAAATTATTGTCTTTTATCATATTCACAGTTCTCTATAGATCAAAACAGGCAGGAAGATCATCAGAAACAATAACAACAAAAACAGAAGTAATATATTTACCGCTGCAATGCTAATTAATCATACTAATTGCAATATTTTTCTATCAAGGACTTATAATTGACCTTTGCTAAATAATTAATTTCAGAGGTTAATTTTATTCCAAGATACCTCTATAGTTTTTTATGCATAAAATCAACTGAATCAATACATGTGAGTGATTAATTCTCTCTCCTCCCCCCTTTAGGTATGAAGAAGCAAGAACCATGGCCAGTTCAAGAAGTGAATGTTCTGGGATGCCGTGGAAATTCATTCAGAGCTGTCCTGCATTTAATGAAGTAGCTAATTCCCCACATATTCCAGCTGCCCATGTTATGATGGTGCTATATAAGGTCCATAGACATTACAGTCTCAGCAGGTGACAGCATCTGGATAGCCTTGTCCAGGCTGGAAAGCTAAGGAGGGCTGGGTTGGGTAGGTACTTGGGTGGGAGAGATTTTTAGGACTGTAGGCTAGATTGGGAGTTTTAAAAACATTCTGGAAGAAGGCAGTGGCAAAACCACTTCCTTATTGTTGCCACAAATACTACTTGACCGAAAAGAAGCATTACCTTTAGCATTGCAAGAAAGTTATAGTAATAGTAAAGATCTCCTTTGAATCAAGGCTGACTCCTGGGGACTACATGGAGAGGTCTACAATCTTGACATTTCCTGGTGGTCTCCTATCCAAGTACTGGTTGGTACTTGGATAGGAGACCACCAGGAAATGTCAAGTCTGTAGACCTATCCCACCTTGCTTTGTTTTTTGAGATCAGCTATATTGGCTATGTTTTGTTTTGGCTATGTTTTGACGAGGATCTGAAATGCTACATCTCCCAAGCTGCCATTTTATTTGCTGTAGTGATAGGATTCCTCTTTCTTCATTCCTGAGAGACCAGGGACTGTAGAAGAGAATAACTGAACTTCAGCTCAGTGCTGGGTTGCTCTGGGGCTGATAGTAACATCTCTCACGCTCCCAAAAGACTGAACAAAGTGAAATATCTTGATGCTACTCCAGAATTATTTAACTTGAAATACAGCTTTTTCATCCTCTTTTTTGTGAAATACAGCCTTTTCTTCTAGGAGTAAACCTGGATAGGTGCCAAAAGAATTGCCAGAGTGGTACTGAGAAAGATAAAGCAGTTTTTGGTTTTCAAATGGAACACGTTTGGGGAGAAACAAGTATCTCTAAAAGATACTGAGTGCCAGATTAGAAAAGGAAATTGGTAATAGGGGAGAAGATTGGTTTGGAAAGCCTGTTTTTCAATATAGTGAAATCACTGAAATAACCAACCAGAAGATAAAACAGGAAAATGGATAACAATCAACTCATTCCCTATTTATTAAATGCTCAGCCAATTTTAATCTGGTGGCTATGACTACTCATAGTGGAAGCAAACACATATTTCTCAAATCAGGGGCATACGAGGGGGGGGTCAATAAAGTCAAATGGTGGCCACATTCACATGATGGAAACCATGCCCCACCTACAATCAAAGCAACACATATAAAAACTTAGGTGGGGCTTCAGTTGTGCAGCTGCCATTTTGACTTTTTTGAACCTTGCCCCATGGACATCCTATGTCAGAGGATTGTTCTTACATTGTAGAGCCTCCAGAGAAAAGACTACTTTGAAGCCAGGAGTGGTTTGATTGCAATAATATAGAGTAAAATAAAGTGAAGAGGATGAATAACACTTGGACTTTTCTTCATTTAGAAATCCGCTCCATGAGGGTTCTCTAAATAAGAACATCTTTTCTCTCCTTGCACAATCTGATGATGGGACAGGAACTTCAGCAGACGGGTGTGCTGAACTCACTGACTGAATCATTGCTGCCCGATTCCAGCACTGCATTCATTAAGAGTCTTGTCAGCAATAGATTGTGGCAGTGGAGCTGACAAGCCGACAGGGTGTTAATTTTAATGAGAACCATTTCTATTTCCCCATGATCATTTTGAAAAGGGTTGAAAGGGTTTGTTCTCCTGCTTGTAGCTATTTTTCAAGCAGCTCTTAAATGTTAAGAAACAAATGTGTTCTATAAATCATCTTATAAGGAAAGATTACCAATTAATCTTTAGAGTTCTAGGGAATAGACCTAGATACCCTTAAAACCACTTTTTAAAAATAAATAATAATTAAACAAAATCTCAAAACGGGTGGTAGAATATGGCATAATTTTAATGCCAAGAGTTTCTTTTGACTCATTTTTCTTATAAGACAATAATTTATCATCATTTAAGAGGCAGGAAGTCAAGATGGCAGCTGCAACTGTGTGACTTTTTTATGGGTCATTCATGCAACACATGTAAAAAACAGGCAGGGCTTCAATTGCACGGTTGCAGATGCCATCTTGACTTTCTTGACCCTGCAGGGTCAGGCAAATATCACCATTAAAACCAATCTGCTTCGTGGAAAACTAGCTGGGCCACTGTTCACTCTTGCACTTCACTTACCTTGTTTTTCCAGCCAAAATCACAGGGCCCCAGTGTCACCCCTGTCATTCCTAATTCTCTTTGAAGCAGCATTACTGAGTGAGATAACTGGTCCATCTAACCAAGTTTGTTTCCATCCCTGCAGCCTCAATGTCTGTTATTGGACTGACCAACATACTTAAACCATGGGTATGGCTAGGACACTTTGCTGGTGCGGTAGTCATAGAGCAAGGATGGGAGAGAAAGATCTGCATCCTTTAAAGGAAGACACCCTCATACAGGAAGCAGCCATCCTCATCTGAATGGCCCTTGTGTTCCAGCAGATAATGATGGAGGCTTGTCTTCTGTGGGGAGCCCTTCCTAAACTCATTTCCTTCCTGAGTTCAGAAACCACTTGTTTTATTTGCTCCATTGGTGCCAGTTAAGAAGCTTCAGTGAGAAGAATCCAGCCTGTATTTAAACTAAAAATAAAATAAAAGGTAAGAAGTATGATTTAATTCTCTTTTAGCTTGCACCTTTCTGTTCTTTTACGTTGCTTATTTTTCATGTTAAATCGCTTAAGATAACCTGCAGCAGGACAGTAACTGGTTATCCATCTCTAAACAGCTAAGACCTGACTTCATGTCATGGCATCCTCTTGAACAGATGCCCCCACAAACCCGGATCACTTTTTTCCTACTGTAAATACTATTGCTCTTGATGGACCCCCAGGCGTGGTTGGAACTCTTGAAAAGCAAGATGGCCCTGGAGAGCCAGTGGAATATCCTGACCAAAGCAGCCTCTGGGTAGAATTCCCAGCCAGCATGCTATCTCCACCCATCCAGAAGGTGTCAAGTTGGGGAAGGCTAGTTTGAGTGTAGACAAGGATGGGGAGATCTGAGTTGAAATCCCATTCAGCCATGAAGCCATCCAATAACTCTACTCCATTCTACTCACAAAGCTAATGCAAATACATTACTTTGCCTGGCTTCTTTTGCCGCCCTTCCTGCATCACTGTTTCCCCCTCTTCCAGCATCCTTTTGTCCCTGTGGTTTCCTTATGACAATGTCCCACTGGGGAGACCTAGGGAAGGCGAGCAATGTATGTATTAAAAAAAATGAAACTCCCTCCAAATTCCCACAAAGAATGGAAACTCATAGCCCCACTTGAATGCTATTGGTTGTCCTGCCCTCTTGTAGCCCTTGCCTACATCCCCAAAAGTTGCTTGTGGCTTTTGGCCATCAGTAGGTTGCTCAGCCCTGGCATAGATAGGCAAATGGAAGCATCTGGCCCCTGAAAATCACTGAGGCCCTCCTGCTTATCCCCATTCATTCAGCATCTCTTTCGGTGTCAGTTGAATGTCTAACAGACAACTGACAGGAATAGTATCCCAATCCTAAATATATTACAAAATGAAATTTGGTTTACCCTCACATTATTTAAAAATTAGCAGGTTGGATGGGTTATAATCCAAAAGATAGGAAAATGACTAAGGCTTTAGTCCAATCCCTGTTGAGAGCAAACCTGATTGACCTCAAGGGACTTAACTTCCAAATAGATGTGCAGAGGGCTGCACTCGAAGTGCTGAGTAATCAGGCAATGCAGAGACATGTGTGACCCAACTTTATATTCAGCGCTAATCATTTTAATAAATAACACTTCATGCTAAGACAAGGATTAAGAACTGTGGCCCTTTGGGGAATCTTTCTTGTTTTATCCTGACTGATAAATGCACTTTCAGCACTATCTCTATGTGCTTTAAAAAGTTCTGTACGTGCTACTGCAAGATTCTTAGGGACAATTTAGATGATAAAACTGAACGCTGTAATAGGGCGCTATTGTACTTTGTGTGAAACCTATAAGCCCTTGGGGGATCACTCTAGGCTTCATTAGAAGAAACAGTGTATCAAAGTCCTTCTTCTCCTCTACTTTGCACTTATGAGACCAGTGGCACACCTAGTATATTTGACACCTGGAATGGATCATTTTTAAACACCCCCCTTCCTTCATTGCTGACAGCCAGTTTGTTTGTTTGTTTGTTTGTTTGTTTATTTATTTTTATTTATTTATTTATTCAATTTATATAGCCGCCCATCTCAGACCAGTGACTTTACCAGTTTGGTAAACGGTTAAGGAGTTAGACTAGAAACCAGGAGACTGTGAGTTCTAGTTCTGCCTTAGCCACAAACCCACCTGGGTGATCTTGGGCCAGTCCCTTCTCTTAGTCCTAAGAAGAAGGAACTGACAAGCCACTTCCAAAAAATGCTACCAAGAAAATTGCAGGGGGGCAGTCAAAACTGTCAGATATAATTTTTGCAGACATAATTCTTTTCCTCCATTGCTGCTGCACTGCCATTGACTGTCAAGCAACTGAATGGTGCATGAGCAACGATTCAACTCCACACCTGCCACTAGCCTCCCCATGTCTTTGGCAGCACCCCCAATTGCCTGCACCCTGGGTGGGCTGCTCTCCCCTCCTTGAGACACCACTGGGTGAGACCACACCTGGAATATTGTCTACAATCCTGGCACCAGATTTCCAAAAGAACAAGTCCAGAGGAGGGTGACAAAAATGATACAGGGACTTGAGGACATGCCTTATGAGGACAGGCTGAATGAACTTGGAATGTTAGCCTGGAGAAAAGAAATCCAGGGGGGAGATGATAGTTATTTTCAGCTATGTAGGGAAGAGGGTCAGGAATTACCTCCCATTGCCACAGAAGCCAGGACCAGAAATATTAGGTACAAGTTGTAGCTACCTAGATTTTGCTTAAATACAAGGAAAATGTGATGGCAACAATTGTACAGCAGTGGGACATTCTACCTGTTGTGGGTTCTCCATTTCTGGAAGATTTTAAGAAGAGGCTGGTCAGCACCTCTCGAGGATGGTTCAGCTGGTTTTCTGGCACACAACAGAGGGTTGGACTAGATGAATCTTGTGGTTTCTTCCAACTCCACAGTTCTATGCTTTTATCAATGATAAGCTAATGCACATCCAACATATAGGAGAATAACTATCTGATTGGCATTTATTTGTGCTGCTTTCAATGAGTTGGTCATCCACATTGCACTATAACTACTCAAACACCCATTTAAAACATAAGATCACCTGGCATGTCTATGTTATGCAGAGTGTCATTTCTTAAGAAAAAGAACGCGTACATAAAAGGCACAGAACTCAAAGTCTCAAATGCCTGTGTGTGTGGCTTATTTAGCATTTCATCTCAACTGAATGAATGCATTGATTCCATTGAAAAGAAAAGCATTTATGGTGACATCAGATGATGAAAGATGTATGGATGTTTGATGTACAATGCATCTCTGACGACGCAAGTGGTAGTCATCAGAAAATGAGTGGGTGAGTCAGCTATCAAAGACAGAACAGAAAAAGAAAGAGGAAAGGGGATAATATGAAGAAGAAACATGTTGCAGAGAGAAAGGAAGGGAGAGATCTGTGATTTTTTAAAAAAAATACCTTTGTTTTTTAATAGCAGGATGCTGTGTGTGGATATAGGAAACTATATGTTGTATGGTAGAAAAGCCCTCCTTATCACTTAGCAGTGGGATGCTGACTCCTTGGAGAGCCACCCTAATGCAGTTGGTGACCTGTATGGATTCTGAAAGCTACCAAATGTGGTAAGCTACCAAATGAACACTATGACAAATGATTATCTAAAGCAGTGGTTCTCAACCACAGCAACTTTAAGATGTGTGAACTTGAACTCACAGAATTGGACTCCAACTCCAATTCTGGGAGTTCAGATCCAGACATCTTAAAGTTCCTGAGGTTGAGCACACTGACCTAAAGTAAAGGGGTAAAGCAATGCAAGCGATGAGGTTCCTTATGACTCTCCAGAACCTCTTTAGGGCCCCTCAAGTCATAGCCTCTGCAGAACTCCCCAGAATGGGTATTTGCTTTTTAGACATTTCTGGAGTTGTGGGGGGTAGGGGGTCTTAAGTTTGAATAGACCAGCCTTTCTCAATCTTTTTACCCTGGGGGAACCCTTGAAATAATGTTCAGGTCTCAGGGAACCCCTGTCTAAAAATAGCAAAAAAATACAAAAGCTCCACAATATTGTTCATTTTTAACCTACACAATCTACAATTTACAATGTTTACAAAAACAGCAAAGGTGAGTTGTAGTGCATAAACATTCTCACCACTGTGAACACTAGCATTGGGTGGCATGCAAAATTTAAAAAAAAAAAGTTTTCTTTTTCAATCAAGATCTCTCATAGAACCCTAGTTGAGAAAGGCTAGAATTTACTCTGAATATGGAGTTCATTTATTCAAAGACCAAATATTGTTGTTGAAATAAAAAAGCATCAGCATCCAGAAAAATATGAATACTTATGGCTGCTGAGCAGCCTAATCAAAGTGAAAGGAGAAATATGAGGAGGAGGAGGGGAAGAAGGATCATCTTGGAGACATGGCCAATGGGGAATCAATAGTTTGTTCTCCAGACACTGATCATGACATTTCAGTGATCAGTCAAACTTCTTGCCATGTAGAAGATTATAGCCTGGACTAAGACTACTAAATGGCTTTAACAAGGATTATCTTCTGTGTCCATATTTAACCATACATCTTGGGCAACCTCACTGCCTACCCCTCCTGATGTTCTTGGATATAACTACCATTATTTTGTGCCATGCTGACTGAGGTTGATGGGACCTGGAATTCATCAACATCTGAAGGACTATATGTTTTGCTAAATGAAGAGAATGATATAAATGGGACATTTCTGAATATTACACAACAGCGCTAACCTCTTGCATACCTTGCATTTTCCATTTCTCTGTAATATTCAGAGATACTCAATGCCATATTGTACAGGGGCAATTTGTGAAACATAGTTTTAAGTAATTCCAGGCCTTCTACTAGTTGAACAGGGCAGACATAAGCTCGCATTCTACTCATGCATTATGTTGTATTTTTGTTCCATAGCTACAAGCAGGAACAAGCTAATAATCTCCATGATCAAAGGGCCAATCATGTTGTTGTTCTTAAACACAGCCCAAGCTTGGATTTGCATACTCTGTTCCTGCAAGCCTCTTGATTCCTGGGGTTGGGCAGCAAACTGCAATTTGATGGCACTTAAGGAGATGCCTCTCCTGAACTCAAGCATCAGAATTCTTCATCTGCAAAACAACAATTTGACCACTGTTCCTTTTGGTGCTCTGGACAGTTTGACCAACCTGGAGGAAATTAATTTTTCCAACAACCCTTGGCACTGTGACTGCTCTATTTTATATCTCAAGGAGTGGCTGGAAGACTTCAACAAAAGTTCTCTTGAAAAGGCTACCTGTGCAACTCCAGCTTCTCTAAATAAGAAGGCCTTAAGCCAGCTGAAAGGGAATGAACTGGAAGGATGTAGGAAACCCCTCCCAATCAATTGCCGTGATTTTTTTTGGAGGGACTTTGGTCTGACTTTTTTGGTAATCATTGTCTTAATTTTAGCAGCATGCATTTTGCAATGTTCAAAACAGTTAGTTTTCCAAGCCATCAGAAAGCAGCATTCTTCTGAAATCCCACTGCTATGGTTCCATGACCTGGAAAATCAAAAGACCAAGTGAAATGCTGAAGTGGGCAATACGTCACTGTAAGAATAAAACCACCCATTTAAAGGTCGTATTTTTGCAAACTGAAAGTATCTATAATCACAACTAAATGCCTCTTTTGATGAAGACAACACACTCTTTCTCACACACATACACATGTGTATGTCAATAGTCACTATCATTGGAATTAAACCAAAAATTCTGACAGCTGTGTAAATTGTTTTGCTGTGTAATTGTACTATACTTATTAATACTCCAATATGCATAACTGAAATGTGTTTCCATGCATTGCAGCTTCTGTTGGTATGGCACTCAGCCATATAATCGTTCACAAAGAGAATAAATAATCCTCATCTTACACAAACTTTGTTCAGTGTGGTAGCAACACATATTCTTACATATAAAAAAGTGAAACTACTCACATATTCACTGAATACCAGGACAGAGAATTTAGAACTTTCAGCTTTTACAATCTCACCTGAAAAATGATCTGGATTAGAAAGTTATATTGTATAAATTATGGTTTTGCTAGTAAAATGTTTCATGGCCAAAATATTTAGGATTGGAAAATGGTCTACTTTTTGTAGCATTACAATCCCTATCTATTTAAACATTGGAAGAACCAATCCATTTACTGAAAAGATTATTAGTTTTTTTAGAAGTATGGACACTTAGCTACTCAGCAAATTGATGAGTAAGTTTGGTGGCTGTGTCACAAACACATTCATATTCCCTTCACAGGGTTCTGCTTGGGCCTTTTGTCAAACTCTGTTTCAGGTGCTGCTTTTACTGTGAAATTGCACTGCCATATTCTAGGAAGTATATGGGGATTATACAGTGGTTTTCCATTTGTGATCTTTCTGTATTTTCCCATCACTTATTCTGTCTTCTTGTTTGCTATAAAAACATTAAGGGGAAAAAATGGACAAATTGCACATTTTTTTATTGCTAGCGAATACTGAAAGTGTCCAGAATATGGAAGTACCCAAGGACTTCATTTTGCTTGAAACAACTTTGGCCTTGAATTTATAAGCTATGAGTAGTGCTAGTACATATCTGGTGTGATAACCATTTCAGAATAATGCACCATTGTGCCTCTCATTATTTAATAAGCTGTATATCACTGAAAATTGTGTTGGATTTGTTGATTTAAATGAAGCAAGTTGGTAGTTCACACTCCAATTCTATCAAAGAGTTCCACAACTCTTTCAAAGTTTTCTCTTTATTTTATTCCACAAATATCCTTCAAATTATTGACGAGTTGTTATGCTCAGAAGACACCACTGTCCTAGTGATTTATATTCTATGTGGATGGCATGATGTCTGAATTTAAGGGTTTTCCATCAAATATCAACTCTTCATGCTAGAGAGAGCATGCCAGAAAGAAATGAATTTGCCTGAAATGACAATTAACCAACAAGCATTGGATCAAAATTTAGTCATTGCAACACATTACAATCATGTAATTTAACGTAGTCCTGATGCAAATTGACCATAGATTTAAATGAAACTGCTCTAAGCATGGCAAACTCTGGATTTATCTCAGATTATCATCATCTCCTTAAAATCCAAGCCCCTTTACAAATGATAAAATGTTTTACTTAATTTATTTCATCAACCTGGAATTAATATTCCCAGTTTTCTTGTGGGTTAATTGCCAGAATTCCCAACCAAACTCATCACTGTTGGAAATGTTAGCTGGGAACTCAGGGAAGTAGAGTTCCAGTTGGGAAAGTTTATTATTCTACTGTATTACAGAAAGGGACTAGCCTTGCAAATATTGGAGATCTACCCTCTCAGCAGCCTCTGCAAGCAGAACTAATGGTGAGGAATGGTAAGAGTTGTAATTCTGAAATATCTGGAGGATTGCTCATCCCTTTTTAGAGAGAAAATTGGAGTAAGAACAAGTAAACCAGGCCCAACTGATCCAGTTGGTAGTGCCTGCCTAAGGGACTATTTGTTTGTGATGAATCACTCTAGTTGTTGAGATCTGCAGAAGACCTTTTCTGAAGAGGCTTGGGCTGTCCCAGGTCCTACGTCCTGGCATGCAGGAGAATCTCCCAGGCTATGGAATATGCTGCCTCAGAAGGTACACTTGGCCTCTACTCTCTCAGCTTTCAGAAAACTTGTAAAGACATATCTCTTGCTAGGTTTTTAGCTATTAAATGTTTTTAATACAGGTTGTATTGTTAATTCTAAATTTTAACCATTTATCTTCTGTTTTTGTTTTGAATTCATGCCACAGTAGAGAGGTTGGGTATAAATCTATAAATAAAATAAAATAAAATAAAATATACCAACACCTTAAGGTGTGCCCAACAAGCAACTGGCAGCCAAAACAGAACTTTCAATACAGAACCCTGTATCTTACACCAGTTAGCAGTCCTTAGCTGTCACGTTTTACACAAATTGTAACTTATAGACCCTTTTCAATGGTAGTCCTGTGTATAGCCTCATTGCTGGAGTCAAGATGAGATGCATCCAAAGGATGAATAAGCATTGTGCAATCCCACCAGCTCAGAGTGGAAAGACTACAGTTGGTGAAATAATAATAACTACTACTACTACTACTACTACTATTATTATTATTATTATTATTACTATTATTATTTTAAACTTGACTCCCAAGTACTCTCGGCGGCTCACAACAGTCAAAGAAATTACAATCAAATCAATAAAACATAAAACATAAAGACAAAACTTGGCAAGCACGATGAAGTGAGGGGTCTCACTCTTCCATGCCAAAGGCCTGGGTGAAAAGCCAGGTCTTTATGGCTCTTCTAAACAACAGCAGAGTGGGACCCATCCAGATATCAGGGAGAACCTTGTTTCAGAGGGCAGGCACTGCTACAAAGAAGGCGCACTTCTGGGGTCCCAATAGATGACTGTATTTAATTGAAGGAACACAGAGCATGCAAAGCCTGCAAGATTGAATTGGCTGGGGAAGATTCTATGGGAGGCAGGTGGTCCCTCAAGTAACCAGGCCCTATGCCATGTAGGGCTTTATAAGTAACAACCAGCATCTTGAATCGCACCAGGAAGCAAACCAGCAACCAGTTCGTAAAGCAGAGGTGTTACATGGTCATACCGAAGCATGCCCATCACTGCTTGAAGCTTCTGGGTGCTCTTCAAGGGCAGTCCCATGCAAAGAGTGTTGCGGTAGTCAAGCCGCAATGGGACTAGGGCATGAGTGACTGTCTGAAAGGCTCCCTGATCTAGGAAAGGGTACAACTGGTGTACCAGATTAGAACTAAGCAGATTAGTTAAGGAACTATCAACCTCGAGTTCCACAACTAAGGGGCAACCATTGGCCTTACCTCTTGTGCTCAGCAGCTGTCTTTCAAGCCAGTATTATGCCATTTATATTCATCAATAGATACCGTGAGAAGGGCAAATAGACAGTCAAAATGTTTAGTTCTTGAATCATTCTTTTTTTAGAAAAGGGTCAAAACTGTCCAAATTAGAAACCATCGAAAGGAATGAAAGAGATAGATAAACTAGTGACTGGCCTGGATGGGGGCTCTTTCTTATTGGGAACCCCGGGGTTGGACCTCTAGGCTTTCAAGACTACAAGCAGTCACTTTTGGTTTATAGAATACTGTTCTTTGCTGAAAAAAATATAATTTTCTATTTTATGATAATAACTGCCTGAAAAACCCCAAAGTAATGGAAACAAATGCTTCACTAATGATGTGCAAAGAAATGTAACTATACTGTTTGCTTTGCATCATTCATAAATTAATGAGTTGCAGCCGCATTATGTGTTGTGTTTAGATTCCATCATCACTGCTGTTTAACTAGATATGATAATTGGCTTTTGTGTGAAAGTAAACCTAGATCATTTTATTTCACATAAAATTAACATGAAATATTTTCTACCATAAAAAGTTCATTAGGAATATGAGTGTTACGTGTTACAGGCAAAATGGGAAAAAAAACCTTGACATATGCCCTACCACTCTATGCTTTAAGTTGGAGAAAGATCTATACATATGCAACATTTGAAATAAAGTCCTTGATTTTTGTTCATTGAATTCACATCAACTTAGACTTGAACCAATTTTCACTTTCCAGATTTAAAAAAATGCTTCTCTATTTTAAAGATATTTTTGGAATTCAGGACTGAAGATGTTACAGCAAAGAATGTAAAAATGTTGCTTTGGGAAACACAAACTTTAGAAGCTTTTCCAATAAGCAGAGCTCTCCTTATCAGAGGGAACCAGGGTGTCTTTATCAGGGGAATTCTTCCAGAGAGAGAGAGAGTTAAGAAGCTGAAATGGTGGATGAGGGAGTATCACAGGCTTATCTTCCCCGTCCACTTCTTTCGTAAGCTTTGGGCCACTTCCTACATAGCCGATCAAATGGATTTCCATAGGGTGTGCTGCTGATTACAGTTCTCATTGTAACAACCCACAGAAGGATGGAATAACTATGCCACCCATCGAAAATGGATCATGTGGAAAAGCTTTCTCAAAGAACTTCTGAAGGGCAATGCAGTCTGTGAATCAGCTCTATCTTCTCCTGTATTGAAAAATGCACAGGGTTGAAATCTGAAACACTGAAAATCAACATTAATATTTACAAGCAAAAATAAGAGAATGCAAAGGTGTGAAGAAGACATTCTCGTGTATCTTTGGCTTGAGGTAAGTTCTCTTTCTGATAGTAAAGGTGTTTATTATGACTTTTTATATTTCTAAAAAGCAAAAAAAACTGCAAAAAAAAGTAACCCATGATAGTAAAAGTAAATAATAATAGTAATGTAAAAACATTCATAGGAAAGTTTTCCATTTTATACTGTAGGGTTTCTAAATCTTTTAAATTGTTTCCATTTTATTGTTAACTTATAAGTGGTCTTCCATTATAAGATAATGGAATCTATCATAGTCCTTCCATTTCCATTGTTCAAGTTGTTGCTTGTTGTCCATATATGCAAGCAAGACTGGGAGCACCTAAAGATTTCCAGAAATAGAATCCCTGGCCCATAAAATAAAACCATAAAGGGAAGGAACCCTAAAAGAGAACTAAGCATGGTCAGAACTGCAGAACATTAGGTGATAGCTGTATCACGCAGAAAGGCATGGTTGGCATGTGGAACATCTGGACTTGGCAGGTCCCCACTTAGATTCAGAGGACCTGCTTTTTAAAATGAAAATAGAATTTTTAAAATAAATAAACCATTAGTATGGTCAGAACATATATAAACCATAACAGAAGAATAATTTTACATGAATGGCTTTAATTGCCTTAAATGCTTGCTTTTACCGTGTGATTCATAATTAAGTTTTCTGAAAGGGTTGTTTGATAAATTGCATGCCTCACATTTTGCTGCTTACTTGTCACCGACAGGCATTTGGCTTGGTTTGAGCAGACAGCAGCAGCTGCATGGGGGGAGGGGTCAAAAACCTCAAAATGGCAACAACAGCAGCCTGATCGATGCCCCACACCACTCTCTCCCCTGGCTTCACTTGGGATCACAGTGGTATATTCAGCTATTTCCTTAAAGTAAAATCCCTCAAATTCTATGCATTTCTCTCCAGAAGTAGGCCCCAGAGTTTTTATTTGTTTTATTAAATTTAGAGACTGCCTCTCCAGATGACTCTGGGCAGCTTACATTATAAAAGAAAATAAAAACAGAAAGAAACATCATGAAATATTCTAAATGTCTAGAAGGGTAAATACAACCCCCCCAAACCCCCAAAGAAAAACTGACAGGGTCTCAGCAACCACCCTACCCTCAAGCCTGGGAGCCCTTCTATGTTAGTGTGGGAAATCTTTTCCCAATTTAATGTTTTTTATATGGGTTGGGACTACAGTTTTTGGTCTTTCAAACCAGCTTGGAAATGACCAATGTCTGAGATAACAGCTTCAGATTGTTTATTTTCTGCTGCTGCATTCAGCCCCGTCTATCTGCTATATAAGCAGATTATTCCACTGACCGACATTTTCAGCAATTCAAAAACAGTGCTACCAGCATAAATAGGGGCAGGAAATGCATGACTGGCTGCTTTTGTATCACTCAGACTGATATCCCATCCTTCCTCCACTGAGAATAACTGCCAGCTTACTTTATTCATATAATAATTCTATAACATGGAAAAGATTCAGACAATGGCTTTCTCATGATTACCCAATAGATACCTACTGATCATGAATGTGAATTAAATTTAATATACTATCCACTCCTCCTCCTTTAAAAGCTCACTATTCTATGACTGTCCAAGGGAAATCTAATAAGTTAGTATTATACTATGTACTGAAACTCTTTGGATTTTGCATATATATAAAATAGACCAACAGAATTTCCTCCATTTTTGGACCTTCCTTGGGGAGATACCATGAGAAAGATGTGCTCCTCTACTTCAAAACCTAATAGAACTCACTTTCCCATACTTTGAAAAAAATAACTCACAGCACTGGTTATGTTTAATCCATTCTGTAAAACATGTGGCATTTTGACCATCCCAATTGCATTTATCAGTAAATGGGATATGCCTGGTCCTACAATTCCATTTAGGAACTGAAAAGATTTGGACCTGAACTTCAGAACAGAGAAAACTGTTTTTATGCATATGCCTTCATAAAGATCATTCTAGTGCTTATCTTTGAAGGAAAACATTCATCTTGCACTTCACAGATGATCTAATGAAATGAGAAATAAATGGTTCATGCGAAAATAAACTTTCCCTTCCTGCTGGCTGCTTATAAAGTTATTGATTTCTTATTTGAAAGGGGCAGTAGGGAGAAGATTCAACTTAGATGTAGACTATCATATACTGCAAAAGGATCTAAAAAGCTAGATTCATTCTGTATCCAATATGAAAATATTATTTAACTATAACATTAAAGACAACAGTACCTCCAGTGGGGCCTTGTTAAGGGGAACAAAAATATTAAATAACCTATTAAAATATACTGTGAGCATGAGATATTAATTTACATCAACATATTTTACAGGTTTATCATGGAGAATGCTGAACAAAAATAAATGTTCATGAACTTGCATTGATTTATTTCTTTATATGGTTATCCTCATTTAAATTTTCAGAATGGTCACATGTCAAGGATTACTGATTCTTCTGTTTCTTGAAGCTGCCTTTGCAAGTCCCTGTCCACACTACTGTACATGCTCTCCACCAGGAAACAGTCCACTAAAATTGAACTGTAGTTTCATGGGAATGATGGTACTTCCACTTTTACCAAGTCAAACACAAGAGTTATACCTCCAGGGCAACAGACTAGAAACAATACCCGCAGGAGCATTTGACCATCTTCAGGTGCTGAAGATCATCAATCTATCTAGAAATCCATGGCATTGTGACTGTGGAATTTTGTATCTGAAAAACTGGTTGGAAGATCAAATGGGAAGCTTACTTTCTAAAGATGTGAGGTGCTTTTCTCCTCCTTCACTTCGCAAAAAAATTATATCTGAGCTCAAGAGGAATGAACTGCCATCTTGTTACACTTCCCGAACACTTTGTTCTGATTTCTTGTTCAGTGATGCATTCCTCTTCTTTCTTATGTTCATTCCTTTTATTATCATTTGTTTCTTGATAACAAAAAGGACTAAATTTAAAGTGGATGTTTATGACAAGAATTCAACAGACCTCAGGATATTGCCTGCGATTTCTGATCAGCTGAAAAGAAGAAAGGAAGAAGACCACCAAGCCATTCACCATTGCTTGTGACTACTGTGCATTGGGTTGCAAAACAAAAAGAAAGGTCAAACAAATCATTTGTTTATCATTAAAAGTCAAACGGTCAACTGAAAAGCATGACTATTTTTGATTGTTCATTTTAAAGAACAGAAACTCATTAAGAATATCTACACTGAACAAAAAAAACCCCATAATATGCAGCTTTTAAGGTAAAATTCAAACCAAAGAATTAGTATTCTCAGTTTAAACATGATACTTTTGATTTTCTATAACATGTTTCAATGCATCTGATGAAAGCACCTCCTGCAATCTGGAGTATAATTCAAGTCAAAGATCAGGTGGGCAATTATAGCGCTCAATTAATAAATCAGTATCCTGAATTATTTAGCACCTGTTGACCTGGATTCTGTCCTGGTTGTGGTCATTACTATTTGATCCATAAACAGTTGTTGGCAGCCAGAGTCCAGATACTCCAGATGCTGATTAGGATATGCCACAATTATAAATGCCTTAAAGACCTTCTATTTACACTACTCTATAGTGAGTCGTATATATGGGGCTCCCTTTGTGTGTGTGTGTGTGTCTATTATCTATGTCTTCTGCTAACTATGTTTTTAATAATCTATCAACAACACAAAAAAGTAGTTAGCAATGGATGTGGTTTCTTATTGAGATTACATGGGAGAACTTGTTATCAAGTTCAAAGAGCTGTGTTAGCTAATTGTCTCTTTCTGAGCCCAGTTCAAGATAATTGTGCTGACCTTTCAGCCTCTATATAGTTTGAGAAAACCCTATCCTATTAACACTTCATACCAACCTATTTATGTATCTTCCAGATCCCCCCACACCCATTCTTGGGGGTATATGCAGACAAATAACATTTTTAGCTTTTGCACCCCATCTGTGGAACTTCTTTCCCAAGGATACTTACTTAGTGTCTATCTTGCTATACATGGAAGTATTTCATGAATATTTTTGTATTATTCTGGACTTTTAATGTACAGTATTTAAAAAAAATGTGCAAATCCATGTCTTCTGATGTTTACTATTCTTTAATATTTCCGTTGCAAGTTATTGTTTTAAACTGCCTTTAATCATCTCAAATTTGTTTGGGACACACAAAACATAAAACACAGACAAGACCCCAGGGATTATGGTAACCATTTTCTGAGAGCAGCTTATTCTTCCCATTTATCCTATCCCCAAATTATCTTCCCGATTTACACGGGAAAGAGATACACTATTTAATATGCATAAAACAATGGCTTTCTTTCTTTTTCTTATCAGACTAGAAACTGGAGGACCATGAGTCCTTCCTTAGATATGAAAGCCAGCTAGGTGACTCTGGGTCAGTCACTCTCTCTCCACCCTAGGAAGGGGGCAAGGGCAAACCACTTCCAAAAACATTGCCAAGAAAACTGCAGGGACTTGTCCAGGCAGTTGCCAGGAGTCAATGCTGCCTTGAAGGCACACATACACACACACACAGAATTTAAACTAACTTTTACCAACCTGCTGCTTCCACATTAGCTGGACTAATGCTCCCATCACCACGGCCAAAATAACAGTGGATAATGGGAATTGTAATTCCAAATGAGCACATATATTTTGCAGTTTAGGAGAAATCATATATCCAAGCAGACTGCAAAACATACAAGTAGAAATTGCAGTAGCAACAACGATTTTCGCTAACAAAACTGATGAAAGTAATCTGATAACTATTTCATTGGATAAAATGAATTTTACCATAATAACTATTAAAACATCATGCCCTTCATACCAGGGAGTGTTGATCTGAATGTGCCACACAATTTTCTTCCTCTCATCAAATATCAGTACTGGTGAAACTAGAAGACAGTCAATAAGCACCACTCGGTAGGTGATACTTTAGAAGGTTTCTGTAAGAATGGGACTCACATCCAGCAAAATAACAAAATCCAAACCCAGGGTTTCAGATTAAAGGGGCTTGAATCTTAATGAGGACCAGTCAAACACTGCCACATACATCATGATAAAAAATACAAAGCCTCATATCTACATGAATTGAGCATATAATTCATGGGATTTACAAGGTAGGCTGGTGACAGCATTTGCACTGTATTGTTTCTGTCATTCTATAAGCACAGATTTTTCCCCTCTGAGGTTTTTTCATCTGCTTTTAGCAAACAAATATTTCAGTATAAATAGACCAATATATGAAGACCTACCTTTCTGTACGCTTTAACTGTATACTTTTAATGTAACCGGTCAAATGTAGCCTTCACACATCACACAAATTTCAGAAATATACATTTAAGCTTTTGTCTAATTCTCCCACTGGAACCAGTGGAACTCAGTTGTGTAACTTTGTCTGGGAGGGGCTCCTCCTCTTTAAAATAAAACTACGTATTCTGATCTCAGAAGGCCTTGTGTTGCATAAACTTATATGGTATTTCACTGTAAAGAGATCTAGAGGCAGGCTGCACTACTGTACAAGCTGGAGGGAATGTCCCTGTTCTGGGTAGAAAAGAAGGAAGAAAGCTAGAGTGGAACTTGGCAAAAAGTTTTCAGAACAAAGGGAATGCCAAAGGCTTGGCTGCCGCCAGTGCCTTTTTCTGCCCACATTATTTATGTACCTGCAGCAGCTGCAAACCACGAGGCACCTTAGTCCACTTCATGCTTTCTCCTTGAGCTCTAGAAAGAATTAGACAAGCCCTTTGCAATTTTCACAGTCACAGTTCTCAAGTTCGTGAGATAGAGCTCCCTGAGGGAATATAGGCAGATGTTAAAGGAGATACCACCAGAGGCCATGGCACGAGACACAGAGAGAAAAGAGATTCTTTAGAAGATACTTGGTGGGAAAAGGAGTCAGAGCCATTGCAGGAAAAAATGAAATATATATTCTCTTAATGCAAACAAACATTTTAAAATTACACTTTTTAGCTGGGTACCAATAGTTCTGTTACAATCAACCCCAAAGAACCAATTGCCTTGTGTATGTAAAAGAAGTTACATCCATGCAATGGTTTGGGAATAGCAACATAGAGAGCCATTATCCAACATACTAGCTCATGGTATCAACAAGTCTGAAGCACCTACTAAAATCAATACTGTCTAATCCATCAGTATTGACATATACTTCAGCTACAGCTCCACCATCAACCTGTGATCAGCACCATTCTGAAGGGAACCTGTGCAAATCCAGAAGTAAAGATGATTTAGGTTTCCCTGTTCAGAAGGGGAGCCCTTTGCATATGCACTCGAACTTGCATATGGCCCTGTTTTAGACTGATGTCAATCACAGGTTAGCCAAGGAGTGCAATGAATGCTTGTGTTACTATCTAGAGAAGGGCTAGCCCAGATGTTTGTCACAAAGCGCGGAACCCGTTTCCCCCGGGTTTTGCCCAATAAGACCCTGAAGACAAGAATTAGCTGTTCCTCTTTTTATTGAAGCGCTCCAAGAAAAAGGACTCCGTCTCGCTAAAGGGAGAGGAGCCCCCAGCAAACTTTTACATCTATTTTTATACTAGTTGGAAAAAAGAGGGAATAAACATAATTGGTTACATTGAGATAAGAAAATAGGTATAATTGGTTACAATGTTGCACAGACGCACCTGATTCCATGTTACATATGAACATCCCATAATAAGCTTAACATGTTCTATGTTTTCTAAAATTCCCACCTTTGGGGGGGGGTGTTTTGCTATGCTATTTAACCAAAGGTTACCTCTTGGTCAAGCCTCTAGCTTTGCCAGTTAAGCAAAGGTTGTCTCTCGGTCAAGCCTCCAATTTTCTGCATCCCTAACACTCCCCTTATCTCTAACATTCCTCTTTTATGCCAAGCCACCTGCAGTTTTTACATGATTCACACTTACAAATCTCATCTTCTGACCACACGTTCTTATTGCTGCTCTCACAGATGTCCTTAATAGACCATAATGTATTGGAAATCCACCATAACGGCCCAGTAGGCCCAATATGATTCATATATGGATGGCAATAATTATGATTAATATATATACCATGTAACAACATACGTACAGTTTCACTGGCAGCCTGTTCTTATAGAAATCTACATGGAGTTGATCTAACCAAAGAGTAGTATGATTGGCTACAACTATTGTGGATTTCAGGAGCAGGGGTAGATACTCTGGCAAGTTAAATCTATTATCCTCCTAATCTTTGCCAAATCATCATTTATGATGTAGCTGGTGTGCTTTGTCCACCAATCTGTGGTTTGTTCATTTTTATCAGCCAAACAGTGAGGTGCAGTGTATCAGGTGTTGGTTTAGTGTCTCAGACACCCAGACATAATTCCTGATTTGGTACAAAGCTTATGGATAGTAATAAATAGTCTGACCTCTGCCATAAAAGTCTATCTTCTCTCCTGTAGGAAGGATGGATGACAATGATGATGATGATACATTTACTAAAGCACAGTACAAATAACAAAAACACTGCATGTATGTATGTACATATTTATTTGGTTTATATCCGCTCTTTTGGTCAAAAGCTCAAAGCAGTATACAAAGTGCTCCTCCTCCTATTTTTCCCCACAACAACCCTATGAAGTAGGTTGGGCTGAGAGAAAAGAGTGTTTTTCGTCCTGCTGACATGTATTGGATATGGGATTATGCTTAAGGTTACAGCTCACAAATCTCTAACTGCCTGCATCTGCACAAAGCTTTGCAACATTCCATTCCCCTGCATCTAATATTTTTTTGACTCTCCATAATTCATGATGGTACGCTAGGTCAAAGGCTTTTCTATCTGGATAAAAGCCATAGACGTCTCTCTATATACTGTATGTCAGCCCCACTAGGGAGACCAGACCAGGAAATCAACTCCATAGGAAGGCTAAATTGCTTTTATTAAGATCGGCTACAATAACAGAATCTTGCAAGTCTGATTGTGTTGTACCTCCTCCTCCTCCTTATAGTTCAGTGAATAGGGAGGCTTCTGTCTGAACTGCTTCTGAATGCGATCTGGCTGTTGTGTACTTAAAAATGTTTCAGCTCCTTTTACCTAGGTAACCGTTGCTGCATATCTCCATCAAGGCCATCTTCCTTACTCTTTACAATATAGGGCTTTAGAACTTCTAATTCTGCCCCAACTACAGTCCATACATTTAAACAATACATGCATAAATCCTTGCAAGTACATCCCATTACGGTTCTTAAATCCAAATTCTAAGCTGCAATAGAAAGTTTGTGACAGGGAGACATTCATTGTACCATTATATGCAAGCCCTGGAGCTAAAAGGCTCATTTGGGTAATCAAACACCCATTCCAACACAATTTCTTCCTAGTGTATCTTGGATCAATGCAATCTTTTTTCTTTTTTGGGGCGGGGTGGGGGTCTGTCCAAGTCAATGATCCAGTAAATGGAAATGTTTGGGAGGGGAAATGAATTGAGATCCAGATACTCATAATATTTTGATTTGATTTGATTTCACTTGTATGCCACAGAATCTTTCCAGCCCCATGGTGGCTTAGAACAAAAAAACTATACAATGGTCATGGTACAATAAAAAAACAAGGGGCAATCATTCCACAACAGAAAAAAGCAGAAAATATAAACAATAATTATTGATGGCAAAAACAATCAATCCCCAAATGTTCTCCAGAAGAGCTCCAACTTAACCAATTTATAGAAGGTAATCACCAAAGAGGTCAGTCTAGTTCTAGGAGATTGTTCCAAAGTGCAAATGCCATGACTGAGAAGCAACAATTCCTAGCCTCAGTCTCCTTCACTTCATGAAAATGTGGTACCACCAGCAGTTTCTCCTAGGAGAATTGCCTCATGCAGGTCAATTCTGGTTAGAGAAAACAGTCCTGCAGGTACCTAGGTGCCAAAGCATAGATGTCTTTATAATTTAAAACCAGCATTCTGGATTGCACTGGGAATCTATTGGCAGTCAGCGCAGAGCCGCAATATAGGTATGTTTGTGGCAACAAGCACCAACCAGGAAGCAGGCTGCTGTATTTTGAACTGTCTGCCTGTTTACTAATTAGCCAAACTATCACATTCAGTGACAACCAGTATGTCCACAGACATTTCTAGAAATTTCAAGACATGTCTTCTAATGGAATTATTACAAAGTAAAACAATACTTTGATAACTTCTAATTCTGTTTTTAAAATCTTAGACTGTAAATAAATTTTGACTGAAAATTTAGGTGTGCTTCAAAAATTAACTGCCGCTGCTTTACCTTTCTTCCTTAAAAGAGGCCTTGCTTTTACAGAACAGACTTCATGGGCAGCATCTGGTAGTGGGCGTAAGCTGTCCAAAAATAAAATGCTAATAGGAGACTCAGTTGGCTGCATGTTTGGAAAGCATGGGGAGAGAACATCTTTACTGCATGACCAGATATTTCTTGGAACTAAA